CATTTTGATCGCAACTTCTTGACCACATTGAGGCTACAGAAGTGCGACTCGTGAAAGTTTCGAGCCTGAAATATGGCCAAGATGATATTGATAAAGTTGACAGAATTGAAATCGTGTCAATAACCTTTACTTTATTTTTAAGTATTTCGCTAACATTTTAAGTGTGGTCTTTAAAAGGGAGCGATCGGATCAGTCGTGACCTACATGGATTTCGATCGGTCGTTAGACGGTTTCGAATTTATTTGATAATTCTTTCGATAAATATTATTGTTCAGTAAGTGATTGAATTAACGTTGTCTATGATAAAGTTTCTGATATAGAACAAAAGATCGATCTGCACAGAATGTAATTTTTGATTCTTGGTCTTGATGAGAAGGTTCCGCGGTGTTGCGACAAAGTGACTTCTTCGATCGATTCGCTCGTTCTCGGGAATTCAAATAAAAGGAAAAAGAAACCAGCGACCCAGTTGCCGTGTACCGTGTAATGAATTAATTTCATCGCTGGGAACGCCGTCGATTAAGCTGATCGACAAACAAAAAAGGAACACTTGGTGTATAATTGATACATTCCATTGGCTACCCTGTTCGTTTCCTTTAAGTATACATATGCTCCGCGTTTGCGACAAGGTGGAAGTGTGGCGCGACTGATCGAGCTTAATGATACCAGACAACCTTCTCAGATGAAACTTTTCTGTGAACGATTTCGCCGGAGCACGCATCTGTAATTGGTGAAAAATGTTTCGTTCACGACAAATTAAAATTTGTGAAAACAGATTGCTGAGAAAACTAGTAGGGTAGATGTCCCAATTACTGCCACCTTAAGATTGTAACGTAACTTCATTTAATCATTTTACGGGCTAACAAAAGGTTAGAATTACATATGTCATATGTCACTCAGTTTGTAAGGTTTAAGATGTATTTTGCATAAATTTTCTTACTGTGTTTAATTTTTGTCCAAAGTGCACACTTTGGACAATAATATTATTTAACATCACTTTCATTTAGAAGGAATAGTTTTATATAATAAATATGAAGAAATAATTAATAATTAAATAAAATTTCCGAGCAATGCCAGTGTCCCTGTAACTTTCGGCTCAAAAATTAAAATAATTCTTATATACATCAACAATTCATTTTGTACAATACATATAGGCGGAATACTAAAATTACGGCTCATTCTTTAGTACGATTTTGCCATCACTTCTTACTTACGCAGTCGTGTTTTTAACGCTCAAATTGCACTTTAGTAGTTAATGTACACAAGTACATGTATTTCTTTGCTTTTATGTAAAACAATGTCCCAATCTAATAATACAATTTTTTTGTACCCGTTACGTTTTTATTAAGTAAAATAAATAAAGTGGCAGCGTTAGGGACACTGGCAGTAATTGGAACATTTACCCTAGATTAATATTAACACAAACTACTATGAGTTTATATAAGAAGTAATTTCAGTTTGCCACCAAATAATTTGACTCCACTACATTATGTTTCTAATGGAAGAATTGTGACCGAATGTGATTAAATATTATCTTAACCATAACAATTCCGACGTAAAATTTGGTAGTTTACCAAATACGGTACAACACCTTTCTATCGTATAAAAGGTGTCTCCAAATTAAACGTTAACATTTCAACAGTGAGTCTTATGGATGGCAATAAAAAGATTTTATATAAATCTTTTCAGTAATCATTCAATTTATTCTATAAACATTTACTATTATAGATTAAAATACCACATGTGTTCCTCCTAATTATCTTCACGATAGATGTTTTTATGACAACTGTGTAATAAAAACTTGTTTATCAATGTATATGTAACATTTGCCTTTTATTATAATTTTTTATTTCCTTATGATTTTTTCTGTTGTTTATTGTTTATAAGTGTATATTGCATCCGCTGAATTAATTCTGCACAACTTTGAATTTGTAATTCAACAACGTCTCGTACCTGTGATCCTAATGCATGGTTGTACGGAGGGTTGCCTACCCTGCAGGCTTCCATCTTCCTTTCAGTTGATCGATATCTGCATTGTCAAAAAATTTACGCAAAATACATCTTAAACCTTACAAACCGAGTGACATATGACATGTGTAATTCTAACCTTTGGTTAGTGCAAAATAAAATCAAATTGGTTTAATACTTGGAATGATAAAAAATCTGAACGTTACTGTATTCAGAATCTATAAAGATTGTTAGAGTAGTGGTATCTTCCATAAATAAAATATAATTTAAGCGTGGGTTCAGTACATATTTTATATAACTTACAGCCAATACATACTATTGATTTATTATCATAAAAGTATAGAAACAGAGAGTTTTACACAAAGTATTAAATTGGCTATTAAATAACTTTTGCTGCATTATTTATTAAGTACTAATTAATCAACAGTGATGGATAGAGAGGATATAAGGAATGAATATTAACCATAAAAAAGAAAAACGAATATTTCTTGTTAATTCTCCGTATAACGCAACGTTAATATAGGTTAAGAATATGTAAATGACAACTCTGTTCTTTTTTCTTCTAATCTTGAGCAGAACATTTGCGCTTTTAATCCTACCGAGGGAAGTTTCGAATTCAACAATCGCCCAAGCACTCATGGTCGGCTGACCGTTAAATGGACAGAAAATAGGGATAACCCTATCGGTACAGCTATCCCCAAATTATTCACCCCATATATTATTGTCCTATTATCTAACGCACGAGTGCCGTACGCAGCACAATCTTTCGTTATTTTTCAAGCTGAAGGGTCGGTTATCCCCGGCCGACCATGGAAAATCATGTGAATTCAGACCCCCTACCTACCTTGACGGACATGTGCTTGTCACATATGGGTAACACGTGTGCCCATTCACTACCTACGTTCTACCCTTATTTCTAACAAATGAACTTCTGCCTAGCCAATCGCATAATGTATACTTTTCAATAAATTAAATGATCCATCATATAATTACACTCTATTCTACTGAATTGTATAAATTTCATATATTGATTTTTAATGTTACTTGTGAATTTGCAATAAAACCTTAATAATAATTGCTATCCTGATAACTCAGTAAAACTGATTGGGAATAAATTGTATTATCCGGAGCAACTTGTGTTTTAATTTCAATTAAGTCTAATCTTGAACAATATAAAGCTAGTTTAGAAGCGCGATGAATTAATCTGGTAAATACTTAGAAGAATAAATTGAAATAAACTTTTAATAAGAACAAGTTAATAGAAAATTTTAATGATTTGGGCATATCAACCAGAGGGTGATAATACGTTAATGCAAGGGTTCTCGAACTTTTTAAATTTTGTACCACATAAATAGGAATAAAAATATATATGTACCACCATAAAAGCATTTCCCGATTAAAAATCAATACATCCCAAGTGGAGTGTTTACAATCAAAGAATAAAACATTTAAAATTTATTTTATTTAATTATATTCGTAAATGAAACTTTTACATTATAATAAAATGTAGTAAATGGTGGGTAATAATATATGTGTAAATATTAAGAAGATTTATTATTGGTGAGGATTAATGCGACGGATGAGCCTGTTTCGTTGAACATGTTTAATATTAGTTATTTATTATTTTCAAATAAATAAGTTTTTTTTTCAACAAAAAGGTTCAAAATATTTTGTGTAAAAATTGTACCGCCAAAAATAACATAATGTACATGTACCACAGTTTGAGAAACGCTGCGTTAATGTGATGTAAGAAACATGTTTCGTTTGAATAAAGAATTGTTGGGGTTTCCGCGTATAGTACATAAAAAACAACCAATTCAATGTATAAAATATATATTCAAGGAAAGAATGTCTTCTGAAAACAAAATTTATTTTCTTAATGATAAAAAGAGAAAGGGAGTGTTTCGGTTTCCAGTGACCTTCGGTTAGGAACCATCGCATCGTGGGAAACTTTTCGAACCCCTAAGTTTCCCATAATTTTAAGCGGAGAAGTATTGACTCAAGGGTCTCTAAATTTTACGAGTATTAAGGGACAAATCTTTTCCCTGTTCGGCGAAATCAAAGTTCCGAAGAGATTTTGTGAACCTTTTTCCACCGCATCGAAGGGCTGAAAAGACCCCTTGGACTTTCTCAAACCAGTTTCAGGTATGAATAGACCTTTTCAAATACTCGAAGCCCATGTTCAAAAATACTGTCGGTTACGGTATCAGAAGTCTGCAGGTGAATTACCGTTGGAACGAATGAATTTTCCCGAGGCAGCTATCGCAAGCAATTTACGATCATATTGAAATACGATCAGACGGTCTAAAGGAATTTAAACTGATTCCGTCGAAAGCTAGTCCGTTCTTATACACTATAATTAAGAGCTTAATCGCTAATGGGATGAGGTATTAATGACGAAACAGGTGAAATTGTGTTAAGAGTAAAATTTATTTTCTTAACAAATTGGAAGACAGTAGGACGGCTCGTCGGTACATACCGACGACATTAAAGCCAATATCACAATGTGTATGTTAACTAACAATTATATCCTAATAGGTACAAATATCACAATAGCGACGCATTCCAACGTCGCGATATTTAAAAAACAAACTGACAAAAAAAATATACAATATTTTTAAATTGTCGGCTTCTCTCTAACTGATCGACGGAGCTAAAATAGAACTATCTTACAGGCGAAACTTTACGATTTCGTTCTCAGTGAGCAATGATCAGTTAGGAAATCGATCGTAAAACTATAATCTATGTATCACAGTTTCGAAGCAATCTTATCTAAAGTCAGTCTGACAGAACGAGAATCCTCTCCGTATCCTCGGGGCCAAACTGTCGTCGACGACATCGTTTGCTTCTTGTTGCCGGTTCCCTGTCCCCGGAAGCTCCAATCCAGTTCTCGTATCTTCGTATCGTCACGGCGAGGAACCCAGCGGCTCTCCATGGTGGCCAACGAGTCCACTCTGGAGATCCAAGTCTCGAATCTCCGTGTGAGGTAGATGACGTTCGTCGAAGAGTCCCATTGGGATCTCTAGAGTTGCCGTTCACGCGACTTGCATCTCGGGCGTTTGATGCTGCGAGAAAGCGCGTTCCTTGTAGCACAGATCACTATCGGCCATGCTCAGGGTCGTCCAATAGAAGTCCCCAGCGTGGGTGTGCGCGAAGTGAACGGGCACGTAGCACTGACCAGGTACAACCGGAACAACTGTCATTTGTCCGTCGAGGCAGACAGTGATCGCGGCTCCCTCCTCTGCGTCCTGAAGTTCAGCCAGAAGTCTCATCTCGAGCGCCTCGTTCGCGTTGTTCTGGTTCTCGACCTCCTCGGTGAAGCTCTCGACTTGGGGGACCGCTTTCTGATCCTTGGGGTGTTTCCCGCTACGGCTGGTCTTCTTCTTCAACAGTCGTAGAATCGGCTTCAGGGCCCTCCTGAGCCTCATGCTGCTCGCCTTGCTCTTCCCCGACATTTTTAGGTTATAGAGATTGTCGTTCAGCTCGTTCTCGTACTCGAACACGTGACTCATAGTGGTGGCGGCCATCTTTGCTGATGTATACGTGTATGCGTATACTCTCGATGCACTGAACCGGTTTTAAAGCAGCGTTGCACACCGGACCCCCGTACAGTTTCGTTCGAACTGGACCACGAGGTATTGGACAACGTTTGCTCGTTCGTTACTCGGATTCCGGAATGAAGCGTTTGCGATGCTGTTCCGAAAAACTCGAAGAAAGCGAAAGATCGTGTTGTACGTTCGGTAGGATGCTTTGGAACGGAGCGCTAGTGAACGAATGATGCCTTAAACCAGCAACCCCGGGTCTTATATAGGACCGTCCGAGCAGGACGGGGTTACAGAGTGGGGAGGGCAGGTGCACTCTGGCTGTGGGAACTTGGAGAATTCGGAGCTTCCCACGTCAGGATCCACGCCGACCATCTGCCGCTTTTCTCCCTCCTCTAGATACCCTTCCCGACACTAATCCAACCTACCACCCCGACCTGCACACAGTTCTTCACCCACCCCCGCGATCACCCCCCTCTGCTCTCTCGTAGACCCTTCCTTTCCTTTTGGCTCCTCTCCGGTTTCCACCGGTGAGAAGAGAAGCCGGGGGTCTTTCGGCTCTTTTACTACGCGGAGCACCGTGATCAAAAGGGTGGATATTTACCCATTTCGGGGCAGAACCAGCTCGAACCTGTTGCGACAGGTTTCGAGCTTGTTACGCGAATCCGAGTGATACCAAATCTGTTCTTTTTTTATTTTTCGCGATACGAAGCTCAATTAACGACGATCAGTTCGCTTATTTAATTAACTTACGTGAATCTTCCGGATAACCAATCGAACTTTCATTAGTTTCTCCTATGTTAATAATTTGTAACATCCAGAGATCGTGTTTATTAGAAATCTGCTGTCTCTTTTTATGGTTATACTGTTTTATGTTGTCCATTGTCACTTTAAAGATCAATAATAACAACTACCGTTCCTTTCTGTATTAAATTGGACTATTTTTATTGCTTTCAAACAGCTCTTTCGCCTTCTCAGCTTTCTGTAACAAGCGTAATTGATTATATACTCATAATTCGAGTGCGGATAATATGCACTTATAGCGCACACGAGTATGTGAAATGTAAACAAATGGTAAAGTTAATATTTTCTGTCTTATTCTTCTAATAATAAAATCATTATATCATTAAAATCTGTCTTTACAAATCACTTCAAAAATTAATATTTTGCATAAAGTCCTGCAGTTTACTCCAAATATATCTTGCTCTATCTCAAATCGAATAAAACAAGTTCGGTATAATTTTTCTAACAATTTTGGACTGTCTCTTACTCTTAATGTTGTGACCGTAGCAATTATTTAGGCTTTCGTTTTAACGCATTATGATGGCAATGTCAACAAAAGGATTAATTTGCCCAATTGGGCGAAACAAGTCGTTACGCTCCGCGTGCAGTCGCGCGGCCGGTAACTTGTAAATCAACAAGTTGGCCCAGAGGGTTGTGAGTGCAGCAAGGAACGCACGGCAACAACATTCTCCGTCTTCCTCCAATACCCCCACCGTACTCGAAAGATTTAGAGTCGAGTGTCTAGACGCGTCATGACACCCGTCAGAGTCATTACAACGCTTCGTGCCTGGTCCTCTTTTTTCCCCAACGAAGAACCTCGGAGCCATGTCTGCATCCCTGCGGGGTCGCGCCAGACACCCTCGTAGCATTGCGTATTAAGCTACGAATAAAAAGTGTACGTTTTTGCCTGGTTTCTTTACATTCATTTTTTGTTCGTTCTAACGTATTTCTCGGGTTCCCCTCGACGTCTATCGAATTAACAAGTTTTTCGGAGAGGGTGCTTTTTCTGACGACCTGTTCGGCTCTTGAATCAGGTGAGTTTTCTGTTCAACCTGTTGATGCTTTGAACACTTGTTGAGGTTGAAAAAAGTCATAATTAGATTGTGGATTTTTATGTAAAATAACATTTTATAAAGTGATTTGTAGAGGCAAGAGTAGAAGTAGGAATTTCCTACTTCTCTTAAATACCTTATTGGATTCAGAATAAAGTAGAAACGTTTTAATATCCGATGAAAGTTTTGTCCTTTATTGTATTTCACTGCGCCCCATAGGCTATAAATGCAATATTCTTTACTCGCAGAATTCATGCTCTGAGAATTCATCAAATTGAGCGTACGTAATTCTGTAATACGGGAATGTTGTAGTATTCCAAAAAAGATGTTTTGAGCGTTATTTGAGAATTATGAAAGTTTGTATATGAAATTTAATTTCTTGGTGTGGATATATTACATGAATTGAGCCTATAATTTGTTAGGAGTAATTGGTTCTTGAGTGTACAATGAACTCACAATTCAGTATTTCAAACTTGACTTTGAACTCCGTTTTTCAGGGAAAATAGATTTTGCACCGAATGCCTCGTATCTCGCATGAGAGTGATATAAATGTCAAAATATATTGTTAAGAAATTTAAAATGCAATGAAGGTAAATAACATGTACTGTCTCTGAAGCTAAAAATCTAGCACTAAAAAGTGCTAAAAGTAATCTCTTCAGTGTCAAATAATGATTACACTGTCTTAAAGTCAAATACGACGAAAAGCTAAATATTTCCACTACTGTAAATGGAGTATTATGTTAGTAAAAATATCATGTAATATGTGTTTTGAATTCCTCTAAATATGGTAAACAAACAAATATGTTTTTCTATTTGTAAAACCCAAGGTGACCTCGACATCGCCATGAAAACAAACTGTTTTCGAATTTTTTTTACTGATATTTATTGTACAGTCCATACCCTGCAACTCTTGTTGTAAACTTCTTTTTGTCTGATGACTGTAAGCGAGTGCGTCGTGTTAGAGGTACCACCCTGTATATCCAAACAAACGATCAATTTTCTTGATCTTTATTTAAATACACGCGGTTTAGTATCAGAAAAATGATTATTCTATTATGAAACAATTCCTTTATCCGAACACTTGTACTGCTAGGAAACTCTCCTGCATTTTTACCAAGTCGTGTTAACGGTTGTGACGGTGGGTGCACTATCGTCGGTGGTCGCAGAGACATATAAGGTAAATGTCCCAGTGGTTGGACACGTCCTGGTGATTGAACACTATTATGAATTTTTGTTAATATTAAATTGTTAAAAAGTAATAGCGAACTTCAGGATAGAAAATAATTATCCTTAGTTATTTCTTACCATAAATCATATAAATATGTTCGCAAAAGCGCGATGTATTATTTAAAAAAAATATTATCATTTAACAATCATGAACTTGAGGCGATATGAATGCCTTCGTAAATATTTCGCTAACATTGAGAGCGCATTTCTTATGCTCGTAAATAATAGATAATTCGTGTGTTTCTGTTAAGTAAAGGTTTCTTGAACTTATTAAAGTCTCAAGAATTGATACCAACTTTGTTTTAATGAAACCTTTTTCTTTTATTGTCGAAACTGTCGAGTTTATTTACTGGTACATGAAAATGCTGATTGCGTAGTCGTTGGACGCTTGTCCAGTTACTCGAGCAGCATCGAGCAGAGAGTTAGTGTATGACTTAATAAATTATTTTCGTTATATTACAGTAGGTATTTTTGTGTTTTTTATATTAATAACAATATTTCATTTTGGAAGCTCATAGTTTTTTTTTACATATTTCGCACATACCTATCATATTACTTTGACACATCCGTAACCTAAGTGATTCGCGTACTGAACATTCATTAAAAACCACCTTTTTATTTTATTTCTTTTGTTTCGGGAATTTTTATGACTTGGAATAATAATTGACAACATGAGATGAATAATGCTGTCAAAGCTGTTATAATTAAAGAACAAAAAAAGGAATAATTTTCATTTTGTTAATTTTGTTTAACTTTTTTTAATTTGCTTTAATTTTAATTTTGTGTTATTTAAAATATATATTTTCTATAAAACATTTATAATATACCAAAGTTAAATCCACTATGTTTGTTTTTAATGCACAATTTCCTAAATGTATAAAGATAAATGTTTAAAAGCTTTTATCAAATATATAACATACATAATAATAGAATGCAATTTTCCCTTAGTGTTATTTATTTATTAATTTACAATGTATACATTTATAGATTTAGTTCATAATTTTTATTATTTTATTTATTTATAATTTTGTTTCTTTTATTTAATGCATTAAATTATGTCCAAACACTGGGACAGCTAAATTTAATCACTATGTGGGACATGCCGTAAATTCCGTCGAATCACTCGGCCAAATGAACGTTTTCAGATATTCATAAATTTTAATACTTTTTTTCACGTGAACGCTTTCTTATACCGACTTGTCTGGAAGAAGAAGTTCTGCTCTATCGATTGAATGTACTTTTTCGCCAATCTATATTATTTTAATATATAAAAAGTTTTCGTAACCGCAATCTTTGCCTTGAACGTCCAACCACTGGGACATTTACCTTACAATAGTACAGGTATTTTTGAAAATCCGGCAAGTGCAGAGGCGACCCTCCTGAGCGGACCTGTCGAGGCCAGGGAAGAGGGTTTGTGAAGGTCGTAGCACACGACCGTAGGGGCATCGATCCATCGCATCGGCTGGATCGCTTCGTGGGGTACCGTCTGCCCTCCTCGAGGACAGGTACATCGGGGGTATTTGTTTTCACTTTGCGCTTTGGAATCTACAGTTCGAGGCAGGTGAAGTGGCAGCGGTGCTCGTCAAACCTGCGGGGAGAAGCGTCCCTGTGGGCAGGAAATGATTTTACTTTCATGAAGACGCCGGTGCCTTGCTTCTTCTCTCCGCTACGTTCCCGCAGTCAGTTCGCTTTTTATATTTGCGCGCTAAAAGATCTCAGGCAACTGCATAACAGAATTTCGCTCTGGGCACGGTTGGAGTGATAGACGCAGCCGACTCACGTAAGTCGTTTACTTCTCACACGATTTTAGTATTTTGTATTCTGTGATCGAGCCGCTGCTTCGCATGGACTGTTTAGGTAATTGAGAATATTTGATAGTAAAACGGAGGACGTTTTATTACGTCTTTTCTCAAATAAATAAAC